GCCTGACTTTTTGCCGTTGTGGGCGATTATCCTCGCAGCTGCGAAGTTAAACTTGCGACCTGCCTCGTATGTGTGGGCCAAACACTTGTGATGATGCGTCACCCCGTCTTAAACCTCCCTATGCGCGAATCAAGTATGCGTCAAGTCTGTCCTCTGTAATTTCGGGGACAGTTTAGGCATCATATGCGATACACAACGCCCGACTGTTCACTAGAATTTAATCGGTCCATTTTTCCCACCAACCAAGTCCGCATGGTAGCATTGGGACAGTGCACTATTCCGATACCTAGTCCTGTGCCAATGCGTTCGGTCACCTTCGACAAATCCTCAATGTAGGGCACCATATTACATAGGTCCTAGGAGGTAAAGCACGTAGACACCGGCTTACGAAGACCTTCGGGTAGCGATTCCGCACAAACTGGTCGCGGAGATATTGGGTTTCACCTGAATTTTCTTTTGGGTTACTGCAGTGAGCCTGGATGCTTTTTAACAATGGGCTCACACACTTTCGTTTGTGAGCCACCGGATGGTTGCTATGAACATTGAGAAGCGATGTGATGATCGTTGCCATCCTGTGGACCTCTTGTGTCAAACCCGGCGGGATTGGTATGAATAATGATGAAATATCAGTTCGTCCGATTGAATCCTTCGGTCATAGACGTCTACCAAACTATGGGAGGCTGGACAGACTGAGGTTCCAGAGTTCTGCTGGAGGAACTATAGTTTCGAGTACATCCATTTTGCCAAATTATACGTAGGGCTGTCTCTTAGGACAACGATCGGCCGCAATGGAACGTTGGGTTTATGAAACTTTGGCAGACCATAGAAGAGAGCAAAGGCAGTATCAGTTGGTTTCAGTAGGTGCCGTTCGTTCTCGGTGATCACATTTTGGCGTTTGAATTCTCCAGACAACCGACTTGCTATTGCTTTGGCTTCTGAGTACTCTGTTGGCCTCTATGATCTTTCGTCATCAAGTGGAGTTTTGGCTATCTCATTGTAGTCATCTCGATTAATTACGACCGTTAAACTTCCCCTTATCCGAGGGCAGAATGATAATATGAGCGCCCGTTCGCAATTCTTTAACAACCTTCAACTCACTCTTTGACACAAATTGGGCTGGTTGGTGTGCCATCGGCAGAGAACTTGAACGTTTTCGAACGGAGTGTTTCTTATCCATTCTTTTTCAGTCCTGACTAGCAACAACGGTGTTAAAATAAGCTTCATGTTTTAGCTTCTTCCGTTTCTGATCCAAGATTACACGCATCTTGGCTTGTCTAAGATGCGCCAGTGCTGCGATTGTCTGAACAAGGTCCTCAGTGCTGGAATCAACGAGAACGTGCGCACTCTGTCCTACTGTGCTTTGTCGTCGATACCGCTATTAGAAATATTCTCAGTACCTGCTCAGGAATCATTAACCAATCAACACACAGGCCCCATCAACTAATAAGAACTTTACAGTGTCTAACGTCCGAATAAATTCCCGCGAGTTGAGCGGTTTTCCATCGCAAAAATTTATCGCAGGCGTGGCTTGTGAGTTTTGCTATCACATTTCGTTTTCTTTTATCCTTTACCACATATTATCGAGTTTCTGTTGTAGCAGACTTAGCAAAATATAAAGAGAATGGATTTGCCTTGACACTCGCTTGTGCCAGTTCATGAACAGCGGACCTTGCGCAATTTCATTCTCATCAAAGTTATCTCACAGAGAGCCGACTAATATATTTAAGTTGTAGATTTAAGATTCTGATTTGCGTTTTTAATTTGTTTTCGGAGCAATAGGCTTTTACTTTTCGCTTATATGAGTTCAGAACTTGGAATTCTTAGCAGTACATAAAAGCAAACATTGCACCAACGTTCGCTTGCTGTGAGTTCTCGAGCTCTTTTCAAAACTCTTATAAAAACGAACTCTATGTCATAAAAGTCCTCATGGACGGGTGTAGTCTCCTTTATTGCACTCTGCGAAAACAGATGTCAAGTGCCTGTATTGCCCCTTTGTATTTAATCGACTCAACTAGCGCGGCAACTGCCCCGAATTCGTCCATTAGTAGGCTGCGTATAGCTTGCGATACATGATGGTAAGTTTAGTATTTTGGGCCAGAAAAGTCGATAACAGTGATCGGTATAGTAAATCTAAATATGCTACGGAAGGGGGGTAAAAACGGCCACGCTTTCCCCTCATGTTTCCGGGCGTTGTACAAGAATTAAAACAGGTAGTCAAAATAAAAAAAAATAAAAAAATCTAAGCACGAATCAATGCACCTGTCGGTCATATTTTACCGTATTTTTCCCACACTGTAATCCGAAATGTATCTAACATATTCGGACGTAATCTTCCTCCTCCTTTTCCGACAGTCTTCCCGAATGGTCCTGGAGACGGAGGTTTATTAACCCGGTACAGTAGTCGCCGGTTATTAAGCTCACCTCGGACCCAGACCAAATTGGGCTTAATAAGCGGTGGGCACACTAACCGGAGTGTCCTATTTCTTGATTAGCAAACGCAAGATAAGCACTATATATTACATACGTACTGTATTGTGTACAGCTTGCTTATGTACAAGAAAAGATCCCTCATGTCTGCTACTGTCCGAACAGCGTGTCGCGAAATTTAACTCGAAAAATGAAAACAAATCACATCC